CAATGGGGTTTAATGGAGGAATGTTGAACGTTTTTGTCACTTCATGCCCTCAAAAAGCATTTTGTTTAATTATTTTTTGCTTAATTATTTGTCATTTTTCAAGCTACGAGATGTTTTCCTACGTTTGTCATGATAAATTATGTCTCAGGAATGTAGGGTTTGGGAATTATGGCAGTTTAAAAAAAATATATGAATGCGAATTTCAAGCTGTCCTCCACTCTAGCTGTGACATCACACATTCTAGTTAATGTTAAAATGTGAAGAAAACCTATAAAACAAGGTCTGAACAATGTTTAATATCTCTAAAAGTAAGAATCAGATTTAAAAGTTGTTTTACAGGAATAATGTCAGAAAGATGTGTAACATTTTAAAGTTGGAATGAGGTGTCTGAGTGAAAGTATGAATGAACAGTTGGCAGTTGAATTGCATGAAGATTTGTTGAAGTCTGAAGATTTTCTCCATTGACTTCAATGTTAAAAATGTGATGTATTATGGGATGTATCTCTGGAATTATGAAAGTTATGAATGAGAAAAGTAATAGCCATCGATTCCCGACTGAGCTGAACGTTTTGATGTTTGAACGGAGTTTCTGCGATGTTCAATGCGGGAGGAGAAGCGCGGCAAAATACCGGCGGAATAATAATAAACTTTTCGTCCGTAGAAGAACAGTTAGTAACTAACTAACTAAGGCCTTAAGCTTTATCAACACTCTTTACTCTTGAATGTGGACAGGGACATCTATTTAAGGTCATTTCATATCTCTATACTGATATATCATAAAATAGCATGTTTTTTCTTGTAGTTTAATTAATAAATAGACCCTATGGCAAAGCCTATTGTTGAATATTCCTGTCAATTAAATTGAGAGTTAAAAGTAATCCATATTTTCTAATTTAATCAAGAATTTCAGTGCAACACGAAAATAACAGTTTTAAGTTAAATTAGCGTTGGAACAGTATCACAGCTTTCCATGGTATGAAAGTCAATGGTTATCATACTTTTTACACTTTCTTAATTCCCGCCCAATAATGAATATATCCAATCCACTCAGTTAATTTACTTGGGTATTTATGCTGTGCTTGATTTCACTATTTCAACTTCCCTTCAACTGTAGGGCTACAACATCATCTCGGTGCTGAGCTTGGAGATCATCCCTATCATGGAGCTGTTGGCCTCTATGAAGTCTCACCATGTGCCAGAAGATATAGACGTGAGCAGCACATACACACGCACACGCACACACACACACACACACACACACACACACACACACACACACACACACACACACATACTACTTACCTCG